TGGTCTTAGGCGACCCCTGTGAAAGGGTCGTTCGACCCCCAAAGGGGTCGCGGCCCACAGGTTGGCGACCCACAGGTTGAGAACCGCTGCTCTAGAAGCATCTGAATTTAAGCATCCTCTCTTGGCTTAGTCAGTTCCATGAACCTGTTTCCCAGCTTTCAAAACTTCGGTGGCCTCTGTTGTGAGTTGCTCAGTTTTCTCCTGGCTCCTTTATCCTTTTTGACTTACACTATTTTTATTCATTTTTATTATCTTAAGTAATTTCAGTGAAGTAGAGGGAACAGAGATATACCGATGTTCAATCTGCCTTTTTTAAAACTAGGGTTTCCCCAAGAGGGGGGGGTCTTAGTTCTATATTTTGTCTTTTATCTGAAATTCTTGAAGGATACATTTTATATTGCTTCTCTTTCTTTTGGTAGCAACTTGATTTTTGCTCTCAAATTTCTTTACCTACTTTCTCTTCTTCTCCCCCCTTCTACTGCTTCATTTAAAAAAAAATATTCTTTGTCATATTGTACAATGAAATGTATTTATTTTTTAGTGGAAGTTTAGCTATTGAAATGCCAAAGCTATTAGTGGTTGGTAGAATTTCTAAAGTGACCTCCCATTGATTTGCTAATCCCAGGAACCTATGAATAGGATCAGCTTGCAGTTCTACGAACACACTATGTTACATAGAACAGTTTACCTTAGTGCAGAGAATATCCAGGATATGTGGGTGGACCCAATTAAACACATGAGCCCTTAAAGGCGGAGAGCTTTCTCCTGCTGTGGCAAATAAGAAGGCAGAGAGAATCACCGTGTGAGGGGGCTTGAAGGATCACTACTTTTAAGATGGAAGGGAACACGTGAGAAGAAAATAGGCGGGCTCCATGAATACGGAGCAGACATTGGCTAATGGCCAGCAAGGAAATAGGGACCTCAATTCTGTAATTACAAGGAAATCAACTCTCCAGCAATCTGAATGCATTCGGAAGTGGATTCATCCCCAAAGCCTCCACCCAAGCATTGAATGTAATCAAGCCTGTCTGGGCTCTTAACCCACAACCTAGAGATAACACATTTGGGTAATGTTAGGGCACCCCATTTGTGTGATTTGTTATGCAGCAATAGAAAACGAATATGCCCTCTCACACAAAGCTCCTTCTCTATGACATTACCACAAACCTTGGGCCCTGAAACCAGACATACTGAGGGTGAGCATGACACTCTGGGAGTATGTATCTGTACGTTTTTATACCTATCATGTGAACAGCCTTTTAAGTTCCCTTGTTCTGTGTAAGGAGCACGCTATGAAGCTGACTTGAGACAGAGAAGAAAACTAGGAGAGACAATCGGTGAGACGAGTCTATTGGCACTCATTCTCGTTTAGCATCTTCTCTAGGCCCCCTGGGCGCCTGCTTTGTAGGAAATAGCTATTTGGAGTTTGCAAAAGCAAAATTTTTCTCTCAGTAAAGGAGGATATTCTTCCCAAGACTGGCAGAATTCTCATCCAGGAAGAAATTGCTATACTGGCCAGCTTGTCTCTTTTCTCCTTCATGGCAAAACCATGGCTTCGTTGTCAAAGAATGTTTCTGCACCATTTCTTCTGTTCACCACTTTGTTTAGTTAAGTGGATGGCAAAATTGTCATAATGGTATTTCATATATGTGGCTTTGTGGGAAAATGAGATGCTCTGTATAAGCAAAATTTCCATTTAATTAAAAATTGCCCTTTTATCACTATATTTTTAAAAAGCTTTAATCTCTTAAACTTTAAAAAAAAAACCCACCATATTATCCAGCCTTATTAAATGGAAAATAATGTATATTATTCACATTTTTATTGATGGTTCATGGCCATTATCAAAGCTATCATTTATTCTATAGCCCTGTTTCTGCAGTGATGCCCTTAGGGACCATTGTTCTTATACTAAATGTTTGATTCTACTTCTAAACGTTTGATTCTACTTCTGCATATTTTTTTTCTGCTACTTTCCTTATAAATGGGATGTTAATTGTAATCCATTGCTGCTGTTAACGTATCTGTATCCAGCAGGTTCCCACCCACATACACATGTACTTCTAATTCCAAAATCGAACCTCACTACCTTAAAATCA